ACCCAAAGGGACTGCCTTTGCACGCTTTTTCCAGCGTTGATGGCAGGAATCTGCTCAGTTACCTAAAGCAGAGCGAGCGAGCCTGGCCTCCGTAAGAACTAGAGGAGGACAGGCTGGTGCCTTTTCATGGCTGGCGTGGGCTTCCTGCTTTTTGGTGTGCGGTGGCCCGTCCTGGCAGAGATGCCCACGGCTGGGGCCGTGCAGAAGCGCAGCGCGTAGGTTCGTTCTTCACTGCCCCAAACGCTTTAGGCTTTGACTCACGTCTTTCAGAGTCTGTTCTATATTAATGCTTTCTCTCATTTTACATTAAAAAATACTGAATTGTGGTGAGATACGCATAACATAAAATATAGTGTCTTAACCATTTTACAATTAACCATCTTAATCATTGTATGGTTCACAGTGTTAAGTATTGAGTTGGCCAAAAGGTCCGCTGTGTTTTTTTCCATAAAGTAAGAGACACATTTTTCATTTTCACCAATACCTTTATTGATTTGGATATTTTGAGTATGTCAGCCCTCTCCTGCTATTATTGGCTTCTAGTGGATAGAGGCCGGGGTGCTGCTAAACAACTTCCAATGCATAAGGCAGACCCATAGCAAAAGAAATGTTTGGCCAAAATGTCAGTAGTCCCGAGAAACTTTGCAAAACCACTTTGGACATGTTCAAACAGTCACAGCACCTTCTCCAACCACTGCACAAATCTTTTTTTGCATTTCATTTGTGTGTTTACCTTTCTTGAAATAATAAAGCATAATATGCCGAAAATATTGCATATCTTCTTCCATCTTCCTTATTTAAATGGTTGTACAAAAATTCACCAATTTTGATGTTTTTTTTTTAAGTACATGCTGATCTGACAGCTGTCACAATACAGTCTAACAAAACTGTTTCAAATGAAGTTAAAAACAATTAAGTGCTACTAGAGCCACTGTACAGACAAAAAAAACAAACTTTTTGGCCAACCCAGTACATTCACATAGCTGTGCAGCCAACCCCCTTAACTCTTTTTTTCCTTGCAAAACTGAAGCTCTGACTGCATTAAACAGTAATTCCCCAACTCCCCCTCCCTCCAGCCTCTGGAAACTACCATTCTCCTTTGTGTCTCTGCGAATCTGACTCCTCCAGGGACCTCCTGTACGTGGAATCTTATAGGATTTCTTTTGTGTGGGTCCTATTTGACTTAGCATAGTGTCCTTGGGGTTCATCCATGTTGCAATATCTTGTTCTTTCTTTAGACACACCAGTTCACATTTGGCACCTGGGTTCTTAGTGGGGGGAAAAACTACTTTTCTTAGTTTGCTTTTCATTAGATTTATAGAAAGCCCAGGCTGGTGCAGGCGTGGGTTGTGCCAGAGCCTCCCAGGGCCTTGCTTACTGTCCAGCCGGGTTCATGGCAACGAAAGCCCGTGGGTGTAGAGAAAACACATGACAGATCATATCATTATGCCACGTGTTTTGGGGCCCTGCAACCTGCTGACTCACGGTGTCCCTTTGGGAGTTCGAAGTAAATGCCACTGAGAGTGTGGGGCCCAGGGGGCGACTGAGGAACACGTGTCTCCGGCCGACGCGGGGCGCGCTGTCCTGGACGGCCTCACTCATCTCTTGGGATTCACTGGCTCAGCTCTGGTCTTCGTGATCAGCGGGGTCGGTGTCCTCAGATGCCAGTTCACAGACTGCCTCTCCGGCAGACGGGGCCTTCTGAACCTGCTGTTTGGCGTCCGCTGTCACAAAGCGGGTTTGGGTTATAGTTGCTGAAGGTGCTGGAATGTTGTTAGAGTGTTACTGAAATGAGACATTTGTGGCACTGGTGCTGGGTGGTTTCTGCTCGTAGGGGGAGCCCACAAGTGTCTGTGTCTCACACACGGTTAGCCTGGTTGCTTTTCCTAGCCTGGGATTCTGCCTCACAGAGGTTCTTAGTGGACCGCCATCCACGGCCTTCTCCCACGGAGAAGGGTAACTAGGCAGTTAGCGCTAGGAGACTGAAAGCGGAAAGCCGGAAGACGAGAAATGAGGTCGTGCCGATGACGTGTGTGCATTGGGGCGCTGACCTCAGAAGCCCTGGCCTGGTCTCGGGCTGAGCAGTAGGTGACTTGGGTGAGTCCCTTCACCTCTCAGGGCCTCCATCTCCTTGTGTATAGGATGGAGAGGATGGGTCCTGCCCTGCCGACCCACCCACCCACAGGATTGGAGGAGCCCATGGAAAAGTGTTGATTGCTGTCCTCCGTAAATGGTAATTTGCTATCCCAGGTTCAAGCAATGCGAGCACTTTTGTATGGTGATGAAACCCACTTTGGTAGATTGAAGGGGGTCCCAGTGGCCACTTCTCATGGCAGTGACCATCTACAAGTCACCAGCATTTAAGTGACTAGGTGTGGAGAGTCTCGTACCCTCCTCTCTTGGTTTGCCACAAGAATGGGTGGTTTCTAAAGTGACCTCCGGTTCCCCTACAACAACCTTGGTCACAAGCGTCTTCTCTGGATGACTAGGTTGGATACATACTTTTAGGTAATTTCATTATAATGTTTTTAAGCCAACTTTGAGCTTTAAAGTACAGTGAGCCAGGAACAGCTCCACATTTTTGGGAGGGGAAAAAAAAAATCAGTGTTCGTCCTCTCCAATCTGCAGCCACTAGGACCATAACCAATGACCTTTCTGTAGGCTTTTTTTTTTTTTTTTTTTTTGTCTCTTTAGATAGAATCATAGGAGGTTGGAGCTAAATAAGTATGTCAGTAAGTTCCTAGAGGCCATAAAATAGGGCTTTTAATCCCGCCTCCCTCATCTCCTGTGACCTTCTTAACACCAAGCACAGTTCTCGATAAGCACTTAATAAATCCTTGAGTCTACCAATAGGTAGCCAACACCATTTTGAGGGACGATCCAAAAAAGGAGTGTAGAACATGGGACCAGTGAGCTCAAAAGCTTTGTAATTAGCACAACAGGAACTGGCATAGCTTGAGCTAGAAAGAGACCACAGGTGAGTCCATCAGTCGCAGTGCGGGCCAGGGAGGAACAGGTGGGTGGCCAGTCCCCATCTCCCTACATGACCAGAGTATAGATTACTCAGATATCACAGCAGGGCATCCGGAATGGTGATCAGTGACTTAGGTACGTTAAAAGGATGTCATAGGGACCTTGAAGTTGATTTCCATCGTATAGAGAATTTTCCTTATCTAAAGCACTGGATTTTCCCATCCTCAGTTCTCCATTTACTCCTTCGCTGGCATCTACTCAGTTTTCAGCCAAATCAAGGTCAGGATAAAGAGGAGCTTTGGATGGAAGTAAGCCAGATATTCAGACTCCTGCCGTAATACTCGATTATTGAATTCTCTGAAGCACCAGCTCCGCTATAATGAAGTCCTCAGTTTTTAAATATCTTTAGAAATCAGGTGATTCGGTATTAACAACAGCCAGCTTGCTGTCTCCTGTTTTCTTATAAAAATAAGGTGGTAAAATCCCAGGAGCTGGCTGGGGTTGTAAAAAGATAATCTTAAGCGTTTTAATGCATATTATTCTTCATGCAACTTTGAGCCTTAAAAGCCTCAGTGGAACAGGAGGGGAATGAGGTGGGAGAGAAACCGGCTGGCTGCCATCGTCCTACCGCCCTGCGGCCCTGAACAGACATCCCGTTGTCCTGGGCAACTACTGGCCACTCGGAGGCCACAACTGCCGGAGCCGAGAATCAGGGCTGCAGAAAAAGCCCTAGCTGAGATGCATCATTCCCGTTCACTCTGAGGACAGTGGATCCAAAACAAAACAAAACAAAAGGTCCATTTACATCACGGTTCGCAGTGTGTTTTCTAGCACATTTGGCATCAGCCTGATGTTGAACAGTATTTTTACACTGTAGCTCTTTTCTTCTCTCTACTCCTTCCCAATCATGTAATGTATCCCTGTACCTGCTATGCTATTTGTACCTCTGGTGGTGACATTTTGGTCACTGGCCTTTCTCCTTTTGTTACAACAGACCCTGGGTGACGGGCGAAGCATTTGTCATAGAACCCTTTGGGTTTCTCAGTCTCATTCACTATGCGTGTTTCCAGCAGCCGAGTTTACGAATGCGTTCTTCACACTGACTTTTTGTTTTTCTCATGTTGAAGGTGATTGATAATGCATTAACCAATATCATTTTCCATGGACTATTTTGGCAAAAATAGTTTAGACTGCCTCTTGAGCTGGACGCAGTAACATTTTTGACTAAGGGCTTTCTAACATTAATCTAAACCAAAGCTTGATTTAGAATAACCTACTTTCCACTCCAAAGATGTTTTACTGAGACAGGCTCGGTTATAAAGTTTTTCACTGAGTGTTTTAAAGCAGTGAAAATGCTTGTCTATAAATGCAGTAAAGTGTCTTTGTGATATATTGATCTTCCTTATTTTCTTGCCTCTCTTCTTACCAGACTGTGGGCGGTAACATTTACAAAATGTTTTATAGAGTATGGAGTGCAACATTTTAAGCCAAGAAATTGAAAACAGGATACAAAACAAGAAGATAGAGGAGGGAGAGAGTCTATCAAGGTCGTATCTGTATATTAAGGGTCTGATGGTAAAAAAGCTAAGAGAGGCGAATCTGTGTGTATAATAGGCAAGGCACCAAGAAGGGATGGGAAGCCACCTGGCCTCAGACTTGGACAGGAGTTCTCTGCCGTGTGGAATCACAAAATTATGAGCAAGTTAGCAAAAGGTGTAAGCTGCGACGTTGAACTGTGTGAGCTTGCCATCTGGTTTACCTGCAGATGATTTCAGTGCCCAGGAGGGAGCAGAGGCACACAGTAACCAGAATACCCACATGAACTGTTCCATTGAGTACGAAGCCCGTCCATCGTATGATAAAGTGAATGGTGTTAAAGATGCATTCGCAGAGGGTATAAGGAAGGCACAAGGGGGAACGTGTTTTGAGGCCACGTGGAGTGACGTGGTTGGAGGGAGAGCTGTTCTGAGTGTGAGCGAGCGAGCGTCGAGGAGCTGGTCCTCATGCTGCTGTCTTTTCTCTTTCAGCACATCAGGCCCACCCCTCTGGCCGGGCAGTACCTTCTTCAAGAGAAATGGAGCCCTTCTCCAAGGTAAGTCCCTAGAAGTACCTCTCCACCTCACCCCTTCTCAAGACTCCTCTGTGCTTGGTGTCCGTCAGAAGAGTTCTGTCCTGTTGAGAAGTGTGACTGCTGTGGGCTGGGGTCTGTTTGCCCAGTTGTCTTTATTTCTTCCTACTCACACCTCCTGGTTGCTATGAATTGTTCGTCTAAAGCCGGGACTACTCCTTTGGTCTGTCGTTACTGGTCATATTCTAGAAGCGTTTGGCTGGCTCTGGTGAAGTAGAATTATGTGGCCGTTAAGATGTGACAGTAGCATAAACTGGGCCGGCAAAAACACACCCCGCTAAGTATTTTCAATGCTTGGGCGGGTGAGGGTGGTTCTGGGTGTTTTGGCACTTCGGTCACCGTGGAGGTCCACTGGTTCCTGGCTGACATCGGACATCCATGTGTGCCTGGAAGGGTGACTGTAGGTTTGTTGGGAGGCTCAGAGTTCAGACACCCCTCCCTAGTCCCTACAAGCATCCTTTGCAGGGAGACATCCTTCCTGCTGCCCAGCCCATGGTCAGCTGCTTTGCACAAGTTCCCGTGCCATGTGCCCAAGGAATTCAAACTGTCTTTCATCTCTACTTTTGCAATTAAGCTTCTTTTGAAAGAGCCAGAGTTAAAGAAGAATAAGTGACTAAAAGTAGCAAGAAGATGCATGCTAAATACTTTTAGAAACTACTTTGGGGTTATCGCTGTTTTGAATATCTGCTCTGTGCATAAGCCAGAGTTGGTGGCGGGCTCCTTAAGGGCCTTCCAGCTTCCTGTCCCTGCTAGCCTGTGTTGATTGGCTGGGTGTCAGGGTAACACACTGACCGAAAGCAGGTGAATTTGGTCGTACCAAGGCTTTAGAACTGCACTGGGCTTACAGTGAGGAGTTCCCATGCATTTTGGTTGGTTTAGAGCAGTTTGGTTGCTTTAAGCCTCTTTTCCTTATAAAAGCACACGCTGAGGGATGGCAGCGGGTGTGAAAGGAGTAGAATATAAATGTGCCTCAGAAAAGTGACGTTTATCTTCAGGGCTCTGGAGTAGCTCAAACAGTTGTGAGAGATGTCACATTTGTGGTGTTGTTCTATAGGTCATGCAATTGCTCACTGTCGTTCTAATGGCCTGTGAAATCGGAAACTTAAGACTTTCTTTGCATTTTTGCTTGGTACAGGGTGAAATTTGGGCAAGGAAGTTTGATTATTTTAATTTTAATGACTGCCATAAACATCCTTAATACTTAAGGAAAAAAGGAACATGCTCCACTTCATACATAATTTTATACAAAAATTCATACATAATTAAAAAAAAAATCTTCCCTGTTCTCCTTTCAAATAGTGTACGTGGAGCGTGACCACAGTAGGCCTTGGGCTTCCTTACGTGCAGTTCAAAGCCATGTGCTTCCTTACTTTGCCTCCAGATCTATAGGGGCGACTGTCATTTGTGTTCGGATTATTTTCAGAAAAGGGATTTTATTTACTTAGAGCATTTCCTTATAAGTTTTACTCATTAAGTTCCACATTGGGTAAGATTTGCTCTAAATATATTAGTTTGGGGTTGTTTTAGGCAAAAGAACGAGGGAAAACGTTGCTAAGTTTTCTGACGTTGAGTGATTTTGCTGTGAGAGCCCTATCTCACAGGTGGGGGACCTTCTCGCTCTCCCTGATAGGGTCAACAATTCTGATGACTCCGGACACCGAGAATTACATGAGTATGGATGTCAGATGCGCATTGAATCCACATCCAATTCATCGCAGCCCATTTATGCCTTTGTACATGTGAAAATCAAAAGGATTTTCAAAAGACTTTGGGGTATGGACAGGGATTTGTTAACTTTTTATCTGTGGTATTTTTCATTGTCTGGATCTGTCTATAAAGTTCTTAAGACACTTTTATCGTGACAAGATTTTGAACTTATGTGCTTGTCCTTTCTAATCAATATCTTTGTGTTCCTTTGGTGGGCGGCCCTGGCTCATCAAGAAGTCGCTCCAGCCCTCAAGCAAACGGTTTACAAAAAGATACAGATGTATGAAGAAGGGGGTCTCACTGTCATACCAGTGGAAGGGTCAGGTAATTAAGGCATGACCTGACTTAATGCTCACTTTTGCATCTTCATACTTGACATTTTAAAAATATGCATACACACCTTCTTTTTTCCTGTAGCAAGCAGGAGGATGTTTTTCAAGAAGTCAGACTATAGGCAGGAACTCTGTTAATAGGTTCCAGCCTCAGGGATTGGGACTCCCTAAAGAGCCCCGTTCCTAGAAGTGGGATGGAAGATGAAGCTTGGTCACTCAGGGTGACACAGGCCCAGGCACCCGCCAGCATCAAAAGCACAGCCGGCTCAATGTGCTGCAGCGGGGAGACCTTGCTGGGCGGAGTGGCTCTCGGGCTGAGCTTACGCAAGTACTGGAGCTGCAAGGGAAGCAGACCTGTCACAATGTGTAGCGGAAAGACTTGCTGGTGTCAGGAGGGTTAGGAGCCTAGGGGCTGTCCCTTTGGGGGAGAATTGACATTTGAGTAAGGCCTTGAAAACTAGGTGGATGGGGACTGTGGACATGAGAAAAGGCATTGCAGGAAGTGGAAACAGCAAGAGTACACAGGCAGGAGAGGATCACGGGAGCCTGGCCATGGGGACGTCCTGTGGGGGGTGCGGGGAACGAGTGAGTCGGGGGACTTTGGGAAAATGACATCACACCCCAGGAGATGCTCAAAGAGAATGAGGAATCTGAAGAGGACTAAATGGAAGTTAAAGTCTACGGCAAGTGGAACAAAATGACATAGCGGTTACACTGTTATCTGGCAGTTGTTTGGTTTACACGCTGTTGAGCAGAAACATAGTACAGTTTTTTTTTTCCAGCATAAAACCAATTGCAAGAATTAACTGGGAGTACTCGAGGTCCTATTCGAGGGCGGCCTGCATATTTTGGTTCTTACAGAATCGCTGGCAAGAGGGCCTGCTGAATCACCTCAAAGTTTTGAGGATAATGGGGTAAGATTTGGTTTGGATTACACCAGGCATGGGTAGTTAACATAATTGGTCATTTCATCAATTCACAGCATTTATTTTAAATGCCATTTAGGCTGCTAGAGACAATTTTAAAATGTGAGCCGTTCTCGTCAACTAGAGAGCACTTCAGTTCTTGTACAATAGAGACCTAGCAGAGTGCCAGAAGGGGACAAACCCATTGTTTCAAGGGGACCCAGGATGGGGCCAGCAGACGAGTGTGGCTTATTCCAGGCCTTGCAAGATTGGCCAGCTGACAGCTGTCTCCAACTGTCCCCTCTGCATGTCTCCATGTGTCTCTGTTTTGGTTTCTCTGTGTTTGAAATAACATTTTAAATTTTATTAAGTCATAATAAATCTCTCATTTTCCTAATTAAAAGGGTAAAGGGTATTATAATTTTACCCCTTTTGAAATTCCCTAGCCCCTACCCTCCCCCAACACACACATACATTTCATTCACCCATCAAACCTAGAATTAGGTGACGTTAAGCATTTGAATTATTTTAATGATCAGTGATATTCCTCATTAAATGCATTTCTCACCCCTGGTCTGACCCTTCATCTGGTCCCTGGCGGCCTCATCCCAGAGCTGCAGATGGCGTCGCTGTTCCTGTTTGCTTCGTGCCTTCTACGGGAAGTGGCCGCACGCCACCCCCGATCTGATCTGCCCTGTTGGCCTTCCTCGGCCCCAGGGCCTCAGGGCCCCCGCGGAGTTTTGTTCCGGGACAAGCTGCTGCCTCTCCAGCTCTGTGCCAGCTGACCACTTGGACCCACTTGCCTTTTATTTCCAGCTCTTCCCTGAGCAGGCACTCCCGCTCACCCGCCCTACCCCGCCCGCGAGCATTTCTGTCTTACCCCTCTATGTGTCTGGCACTGGAAGAGGCTGGAGTTCCCGGCGAGGCCCATAGCCTGCCACCCGCACCGCTTCCAACCCCTTCGGGGGTCAGGCCACACGTCCCCGCCCTTTACAAGAAGGGCTGCTGCAGCCACTGTGCGGTCACTGACACCCTGCCGGCCTTCCTGGCCCTCCCTCCGGCTTCCTTTTCTCTTCACTCCAGGATCGGGCCACTAATTAATATTAAATCCGTTTCTGTAGGATCCAGCGGAATTAAAACAAATTCCATAGTACACATAACAGATATATTCCCATTCACTTCTGACAACCCACTGGATGAGCTAGTGAAAGGGAAGGAAGACGTTCCAGGCATGTTCATCGCACAGAACAGGTCTGTGCTGCCGCAGGCCCAAGAACAGGGAAAAGGAAACCTGCTCTCACACTGCCAGGTGGACGTTGTTCCTTGGAACGCCCGGAGTGCTCGCCACCGGGGAAACGTGTGCGAGGTGGGCAATGGCCGTACGAGGACGTGCTCCGGGGGGCGTGCACGTTTCCCAACTTCTGGGTTGGCTCTGTGCACTTCTTGTCCTGGGAGGACTTGTGTACAGCCCCCTCTGCAAGCCCTCATCCTCTGCCTTAGCGCTGCCAGGCATTTTTACTGCTGAAATGTATGCGGCCCCTCACTTTGGCTGTATTCCATGCCGCGACAGTCTCAAGAGCAAGTACTCAGTCTATCAGGAACACGTTAGAGTGGAAAGAGTGCACTGGATGATGAGTTGGGGGAGGGACCTGGCTTCTGGCTCTGACACGGCCACTCGGTCAACTTTGTGACCTTGGACAAGCCACATCGTATGCCAGGGCGTCATTGTCTGACCTGGGCTTGAAGGAGTGAACTTCGGGTGACTGTTTTCCTGTGGGGTGCCAGCTCTGTTCTGTTCTAGCAACTTCCCTAAAAGTAGGTCAGGATGGATTGGAGGCTTAGCTCCAGCCCAGTGGAAAAAGAATGCTCCCCTCAGCCAGCTGTGTCTGCGAACACATGCAAGGGGAGGGAGGGGGGTGGCGCAAGCGGCCGAAGATCCCGGCCCTCGAACGGGGAGATTCTCAGGGGTCTCCTGGGTTATTATCCACTTGGGCAACCTGAACGCAAACCCTGCCTTAGC